GTAAGTAGCTAAGACAGCAGCAAATATTATGCTGGGGTAAAATAGTTCTACCAAAGATCGTTAGCAAAGGGATCTTTCACATAGCTGTCTCTATGCCTTCGACAACGATTCATGGTCTCGAAAGAATATGTCTTGACATACTGCTATTCTTTTCGCACTCTGTTTTATCGAAGACAGTCACCAAGGAAATCTGTTGATCACTCAAATTCGCTGAACTCTAGGACTTTGCATTCATTGCTCGATCAATGAAATATGTTCACTATCCTAGTCTCAGTCAATGATGTTTCTCAACGCTGAAAGTTAAATCCATTCGTGTATCGCTGTGCGCGAGTGTGGATATGATTTTCAGTTTATTTTCGAGTGTGGATACAGGCAACCATGTGTCCCCGAGTAGATGGAATGAATGTGTAGGTGTGTGTGCGTGTGCATTTAGGTGTGGGCATCGGCTGTGAGCTGTGGGCGTGGCTCTGAGGATTGGTTTAGGTTTACATGAAGTAAACATCCGCACGCACGCGGTCTTCAGAACGATAACAGCTGAGCAGCCAGAGTCTAGACGAGACCTAGGACAATTTCAGCTCATACAGCTCAGAACAAAGAAGCTGATGCACAGTTTTCACAGTACAGTTCAAATCAAAAGAACTTTAAAAAGTTTCGAGGAGTTGAGTGGAACTATTCGAGCTTTTTAGCTCAGATCAAGATCGGTTTCAATAATAACTTTCAGGAACTGGCGGCCTTCAAAATCTTGTTTGCTTTTAGGACCCAAAATTGTCCTACCATGAAACACAAAACAAATACCTTTAAAATCCAGAGCTATTTTGGAAAAAATTAGAGTCGAAATTTGTTGGGTACCTCAGTTCCAGCGTCTGAACTGTGAAATGTTTCAACAGTTCCTGAGAGCAGAGCTGAATTGTTCGAATATATCAGCTCAGATTAGAAAGTGTTTTGAACATTTCGCTAGATTCCAAATTTTAACTAAACTGTCCAAGCCATAATCCAAACAGTAAAAATGTTTGATTCGTTGAATACCTAACCTCGGAAAACCTGATTAGCCGAATATCCAGTCTCCAAAATTTCGATTGGCTAGAATCCAAACAATAAAAACATTTGATTGCTTGAACTTTCAGTTTTCAAAAACCTGATTGGCTGAATTTTCCGTCTAAAAAAATCTGATTGGCTAGAATCCAAACAATAGAAACATTTGATTGGTTGAATTATTAGCCTCGAAAAACCGGATTGACCAGAATTCAGATAGTAAAAATTGTAAATGCTATGCGTTTCTGCTCGCGTTTCTGGGAACGAGAACGCAACTCGCGTTCCCATTCCTAGGAACGGAACGCAAAAGTTACATTTCTAGCCAGTGAAATCAATAGGGGTTATTTAGAGTCAATGGAGTCAGTTGGAGTCATTCGGAGTCAGTAGAGTCAATCAGAGTGAATGGAGGTCACTCAGAATCAATGGTAGTCACTTAGAGTCAGTTGGAGTCACTCAGATTCTCCAGTGACTCCAACTGACTCCAATTGACTCCAATTGACTCCAATTGACTCCAATTGACTCTAATTGACTCTAATTGACTCCATTGACTCCATTGACTCCCACTGACTCCAACTGACTCCGCTGACTCCAGCTGACTCCATTGACTCCGATGCTGCAGAGTCAGCTTTTTCCCCCTTGATAATTATGCTTTCGTTACGATCTGAAAGAGAATGTGATATTGAAATACTTTCGTTTTCGTGGAAATAAGAAAGTGAGCAAAATGAAGATAAAAGGGTACTTTTTGATAAAGTTCGGTAGACAAGGTAATGGTAAATATCTTGTTCGGCATAATAGGGAGATGAATGATGATTCCAGTACGAGCTGAAAAGTGTTCAGTTCGAAAAGTTCGGTTTAGTTGGAAATTCGAAGTTCAGAAGTTTGGAATAGATGCTTGCTTTTTAAAAATTGTGCAGATTACATCGATGTAAATGTTTTCTGAGTGAAAGAACGTAAGGCAACTTTGCTTTCGTTGAATTTCTCATTTGTTATGAAAATGATAAATTCTCGTTCTTCGCAAAGGGATAATTTTTTTTTTGAAATCGTGAATGTGTTGTTGGAAGTTTATGGAGTGAATTAACGGCATTTAGTTATGAATTATGTTGCAGATTCTTAGAGAACGGTTGTTTTGCATCTTCTTGCACGTTTTGAAGATTCCGTTCACCTGATTTGGTGTCATGATATTGAAGCGGTCACTTTGTTTTCTGCTGTCACTTTTCGTATGGTGTGTTTGTAGGCCATAAGGTTTTGATCTCGAGTGAGTAAGGCATGGTAGGTAGGGTTGTTTGGGTGTTCAGCTTATCGATATACTGTCGTTTTATTGTGCAATCGATAAATTTCGAGAAAAGATGCGAATGAATCCTGTTGTCAGTTTCTGTTTTGGTTAACGTATGATGCAATAAAATCGGTCATTCGTTGTTAGCGTGGTAGCCTTGTCAATGGGAATAGACCATCGCCTCTCGTATGTCGCGTTGGAAATGCATGCATCCGGTGTCTTCCGACTTCTGTGAAAGCTGAGACTGGGACTCATGATGAACATCCGGTTGTCGGATTCACAACTGGAATGGATGGCTTTCGCCGGAATTCGGTAGAATTCCGCCGAATCGTGTGGGAAATGTGCATTCCCCGTGGGAGCCGATGATCGGATCTCTGGGAATTTTTTCCGATGAGTTCCTGATCGGAGAGCAGCGGAATTATCCGTATCCGATCGGATTTGTTTGGGGTGGTGTTATCTGGCGTGAATCCAATGTCATCCGATTCGGTATCCTGTTGACGGAATCTAATGAAATCCGACTCTATCCGCTCTAGAACCTGGCAATATCGGATTTTTGAAACGGCAGTTCTGAGCGGATGCGACGTGATCCGATCGGGTTTTAACGGAAGGTGCCGTTGTCCGGAGCAATCCGGTATTGGATCCGATGGTTTCCGGTAAGATACATCGGCCGGATTGGATCGTCTGGAAATATCTTGGTCTTTCTGAAAGGCAGTTCTGTGCGGATGCGATGTGATCCGATCGTATCCTTTCCGACGTAATCCGGTCCGGAATCCTGTGAAAAGGAATCCGATGCAAACCGGAGCGGGTCCGATCAGTTTCTAACGGAAGACGTCGGATTCCGACGCAATCCGCCTCAGATCCGATGGTTTCCGGTAAGATCTACAGGTCGGATTGAATCTCTTGGGTAGGTTCTTTAGCTGTATGAGCAATTACAAGTGCACTTGTAGGAAGATTTGCTCGTGCAAGTTCTTCGGTGTAAATTTGACCAATCGCCATCGTGTCATGAGTAACACGAGCTTTAATGTTCATCATCATCTTTCGAATTTCGAGTCGTTCAGGTATCGGCATGTGATTATGCTGGGTTTTCGTGTATTTGATAAATGAATCGTTGAAATTGAGATGAACACTCGCCCAACAGAGCTTCTCGTTGCATTTCCAGTAGATAACTTTCTCGGTGGTTTTATTTTGATGATACATATAATCATCGACAGCAAGAAGACTGTTTTTGTTTGTCGTAATAAATGAAATGATGGGTGTTTCGTCCGAATCAGATGATGACATGTCTAAAATTCAATAAAATGAAAGGGAATTATAACAGAAGCAAGAGAGGATCGGGTTTATAAAGGATCGATGGAATGATTAAATGAAGATAGTTCGTCTAATATGGACGATGCATACAAAAGAGAAAAGAAAAGATATCACTTGTAAAAAGAAAAAGTTAGACTGGATATGTGAAAGACAAAGGAAAGATATCACTTGTGAACAAAGCAGTTAGATTATATGGATAAATAAAAGAAAAAGAAAAGATATTACTCGTGACTAGAGATCATGAGACCTGGATACATGAAAGAAAAAGTAAATAAAATGTATCAGTCATAACTAAATCTATCTGAGACAAACGGGGTAATCATGGAATCAGTCGCCATCTTTTTGAGATTTATTGTTTGATAAGTCCATATCATTAATTTTGATTTTTATTACTCGAGACTATCTTTTTTTCTATCTTTTGTATTTCAAAATTTCACTTTCTCGGTATTTTTATTTTCGAGATTTTTTTTCGAACTTCCAGTATTTCGAAATTTTATCTTTCGAGATTTTTTTTCGATGGTTTTGCTTTCGCAAATTTGTCTTTCGAGCTTTGGTCAGTAATTCTTCAAATCACCCTTGGTCTCAAGAAATGGCAAACAATCTTCGACGTGTAAAAAAGAAATCATAAGTCGTGTTTATTCACTTTCCTATAATAAAGAGAAAGCTATGAAATAAACAATACATGTGCGCACACGTACAGAGAAACTCTATTGATTAGTTCAAATCAAAAATAGGCAGCACCATCCACTGCATTGAAGTAAACACTAATTCGAAAAGGCAAAAGTGGCTGGAAGACTCAAAAAGTAATTGAAAAACCAGAATGTATTGTTCATTATAACGAAAACAAGAGCTCAGTTGATGAAACTGATATGCAGATTAGTTTTGTAGAATGCGTACGAAAGAGCATCAAATGGTATAAGAAATTTTTCTTCCATCTGCTGGATTCATCAACATTCAATGCTTATACACTATTCAAACTGAAACATAAAAAAATTATTCAGCTTGTTGATTTTCCATACCAATTGATTCGACAACTCATCGAAAGATATGCTCAACCCAAAGGTCCAATTGGTTGTCCAATTATCGGAGACAATCCCTGACGCCTTACTGCACGTCATTTTCCATCTCTAGTTCCAGAAACAGCAACAAGAAAAGCTGCACGAAGATGCTGTATAGTTTGTAGTCATACAAACAGACGAGAGAAAAAGCGTAAAGATACACGTTATCAGTGTGATGTTTGTAACGTTGGGGTTTGTGTTATAGGTTGTTTTGAAGATTATCATACCGTCAAACATTTCTAAGTGCTGTTATATAACAATAAAATTTATTCCAGACTTTGTTTGAAAGAAAAAAAATTTTTCATTTAAAAAACCCCGTAACCAAAGGGTTAAGATGCGTGCGGGAAAATTTGTGAATAGTCTTTTAATTTATCTATTGTATCACTAGAAATTGTTTCACCTTCTGCTACTGCTCGCAGTCTTTCTTCACCGAGTAAATCGTGACTTTTGCTCGACGAGGCATAACCATATTCTTTTCGGATAATGTCTGATAGTTTTTCGGCTAATGCAAATATTGTCGCTGACGGATTCGCATCAACTTGTTCGCCAAATGCTGATGCATCGCATACACGAACATTTGATATATTGTATACACGGAGATTTGTATCACAACAAAGACCAAGTTGACATGTTGATATTGGATGAAGTGCTGATTCAAGATGACCATTGATAAATTCTTTAATTGTTGTATCATTACCAGGAAATAATTCATCCGATATTAGATTACCCCATTCAGTAGTATTTAATAGTTTTCTAATGGCATCCACTGTCAAATTGAATACACCGTATTCATAATAAGATATTTGTTCCCATTTGAAGTTGATTATTGGTTTATTACTCAAACTACCACTAGTAGCCATAACTGTACCTGAAAAGGATGGATCTTGTAGGATCATTCTCAGTGTTATTTCGGCTAATGGTTGTTCTTTATATCCATTTGATCCGAATCGACATTCTCTTGGGTTTGGATTCATAAATCCATCAGGAGAATGATAATTTGTATCTGAAAAATATATCTGAAGATCTGTAATATTATCATTACGTAAACCGGTGTTCAATGCAATTATCCAGGATTTACTACCATTTGGAATTGATTTTCTATATGTCGGTGGTGTTGTAACATTTTCATGATTTGGATATGTTGAATATTTATCTTTTACTCGAAAGATCATTGGAATAGCTACATGATCACGAAGATTACGACCAACATGATAGTTTGTTGCAGTTTGCAAAACATTAATTGATTGAAGATGTACTGGATCACCTACACCACTAATTTGGAGTAAATGTGGTGTAGCAAATGCACCACCAGCAAGAATCACTTCTTTTTTTACTTTAATCGTATAAATACCTGTACCGTTCTGTATAACAGCACCTGTTGCTTTTGGTGGTGTAGAAGAAGTATCAAAGAGAATTTTGATAACACTGGTAGCCGCTCGTATTCGTAGATTTGTTCGTTTGGATACCGAGTGTGTTATATATCCTTGAAATGATGTTCCAAGAAAATAATCTGATTGTACATTTGTACGGTTTCCTTTTCGATTATAATAACGCTGAAATAATGAACATCCAAGATGATTAGCACCATTTAAATCAGAATTATAACCACGCCATAATTGTTTGAAATCTTTACAAATTGGTTCAAAAAATTTTGAAATATTGGCAAATTCTGGTAAATATGTTGGATTTACTTGTAAAGGGCCATCTTTGCCATGATATTTCTGACAATCTTCGTCGGATATACCAGTTTCATTCGCTGGATAATAATAACAATAATGATCTTCAATCTTTTTATAATAGGGTAATAAATCATCATATCTCCAATTTTCTGGCCATCGTTCAAGTATAGCACGTGATGGACGAACGTTGATACCACCGTAGAGACGTGCAGTACCACCGAGACCGTTAAAACGCGGTATATACATTATCTTATTATTACCAGCTTTTAATGGCGTGCTAACAATCGACGGATCATGTGGTGATACAAAATTGAAAGTAAATTCACTAGAATTAGGATCTTCATCTGTATCTTTTTCATTAGGGCCACTGTCAACACCTAATACAGTCAAATGTGGTATTTCAGATAAGCGTGAAGCAATCACTGAACCACCAGCACCTAATCCAACAACAATAAAATCATATTCTTCCGTGGCTGCTGCTGGTGTTACATCGTTTTTGTTCTTGTTCAAAACAACTAGTGACCGAATTTGCAAGCTCATCACAATAAGCACGAACACTAACACTAATGCTAGCAAAATAATTATAGTGTTCAAGAGCTTTTTAATTTTATTGTCTGCCTTGCTATGTACAAACTTATTACTGTCATACATTGGAATATTTTGTATAATAGACTAGAATAAAAACCTAATCAATCAATATTCGGGCTTCAAAAGACAATTATTGTACATACTGTTGAATTTGTATACTAAACTTGCTCTCACTAGCAATTGCTGCAAACTAAATTATTTCGGAATAGTGTGATTTATGTCTTATAACAATACAGCTGTAACTTATATCAAGTTGTGGTGAAAATATATATGGGTAAAATTCTTGCACCACTATTCCATTTTTTCGGCGAAAAAGAGTCTAAAGATCAATTTCTTGCACACTTCTTTCTTTTCGTAGAATAGTTGTTATCTTTTGTCTATACTCATAGTCTATGATTCACAAGTTGGTAATTCTCGAACATAGGTTTTCTTTCCAAGTATTCAAAAGGAGAAGAGATAATAAAAGTTGATAAGACACGAGTAATACTTCGTCTGTATATATAGACCAAATAATTAGTCGACGACAAAAGTTTCGCCCGCATTGGAATGGATTTTTTATATTATTTTGACGTATGAGAATGGAATGCAAAACATATATATACAGAGGAATTCGAGACATTTACACAACACATATTAGTTTTCATAAATGTTTGCTTCTTCTTTGAGCAAAGTAAAAATTTGTGACTACATCCATTTTTGAGTGGCTTGTTGAGGTGTGAGATGCGTTATATGATATAAGACCGAAATTTCGAGCTGACAAATTTCTAGTGACCGAATTGCAATTCGAAATTTCGCGCTCCATATTCTTGGTATCGCCCATTGACGGAGCATGGCCCAAGCTCTTCCCTCTTAATGATCAAAAGTTTTAAACTCGAACTCACTTCACACGATTCATCTCATCTCTAAATAAGGCAATCAAAAATGGATTTAGTCACAAATTTTTACTTTGCTCAAAGAAGAAGCAAACATTTATGAAAACTAATATGTGTTGTGTAAATGTCTCAAATTTCTCTGTATATATATGTTTTGCATTCTATTCTCATACATCAAAATAATATAAAATATCCATTCCAATGCGGGCGAAACTTTTGTCGTCGACTAAATGCAATTAAACAGCTGTTTACAGCGCTTATTTTTTTTTTCGGAGTTTTGCTAGAAACCAAATCCTATCTTAATCAATTCATTAGTGGTCTATCAGACGTATTAGAATGGAAAAGTTGATTATTGTATTGGTTTTAACGATGATTTTCAATGTTAAAAGTAAGAATTTTTTCTCTTTCTCGTAAAGAAGAGTCCAGTAAACATAAATTGTCTGATCGATGGATTGCTTCTGTGTCCGCATCTCACTGATTCATCGAAGAATTAGGTGAAGACATAAAAGGAATTTTTTTATAGGGGTTGACCGAAGGGTAATCGGGGTCGAAAAACTCGAATTTGATGTTAGTTTTTTAAAGTTTTTTTGAGGATCATTTTTTTAGAAATAGCTATCATATATGGAAATAAATGATTCGTAGGTCTTATCCTCAAAAGAAACTTTAAGTTAAAACCATCTATCGAACAATAAGACTGATCTTCTTCCTGGTCTCTTACCCTTCGTACCAAACATGCTCATGCTTCTCGTCGACAACATCCACTGTAAACTAGGACTCTCAAACGGTACTCAAGGCAATTTTCGAGAGCTCTTACACGATGATCAGGAAGGGCCAGGTGGTTTCAAGATAAAGAGCGAAGTATTTCCCTCAAATATGATATAGATACGAAAACTGTTATACATGCTAGGGGAAACTAATACATCACAAGTAGAAATAGATCTCGATGGTCTCCATCCTAAACTAATCCCTATTCCATTGATCAAAAAGCGATTTACTGTTCCCATTAAGCAGCTCTTCAGGCATCTGTTCGAATGAGTGGAAGGTGGAAAAAATTCCACAAGTGATTCAAGTTACAAGAACGCAACTGCCAATTGTACCTGTCTTCGCAATAACTATTTATAAGGCGCAAAGACTCACAATGAATAAAATCGTGGTCAATCTCCAAGTTCTACTTGGAACATTGCAAGTGGCATCATTTTATGTGCCACTCAGTAGAGTGAAGAAAGCGGAAGATATAGCCATTCTTCGGCCTTTTGACATGAAGGTTATACAAGTTCGACCTTCTTCTGCGCAAGATATTGAATTGAAACGTCTAGATGAACTTGACAGAAAGACACAACGAGAATGTGCTTGTTTTGCTTTTTGAAATTGTATTAATAAATAGTCTTTTGATAGTTCAGGAACACCATCTCTACGAGAAAGAGTCGAGCGAATCCCCAGACGAGCGTTACTTGTGTTTTTAAGCTTCTTAAATGTGATTCTTCTCTTCAATATAACCTACTATGCAAAAGTAATTGCCGAAATGTCGGAGCCTGGTTCTCCGGTTTGGTAGGTCCTAGAGTAGGGGTGGGAAGTTACCGTTACCCGGGAGTTACGTTACCGGGTAACTAGTAACTTTTGAGTTACTAATTACCGAGTAACTGGTAACGCCGGAGTTACCAGTTACCAGGTAACTAGTAACTTCGAAGTTACTAGTTACTTTTTGTAGGTAACTTGTCTAAAAAGTCGAGATATCGCTTCCTAATGACTGAATATCATCTATTCATCACTCAATTAAATTACGAGTTACTTGGTAACTAGTAACTCCTATGTGCGTTACTAGTTACTCGGTAACTCGTGAGCTGAATAAGTACTGTAATGATGGTATTCACTCATTAGGAAGCGATATCTCCACTTTTTAGACAAGTTACCTACCAAAAGTAACTAGTAACTCCGAAGTTACTAGTTACCTGGTAATTGGTAACTCCGACGTTACTAGTTACTCAGTAACTAGTAACTTGCGAGTTACTAGTTACTTGGTAACGTAACGGTAACTTCCCACCCCTATCCTAGAGAGCTAATTTTTTTTTAATTTGAAAGAGCATGTTCTGAAGCACAAACAGAGAAATTAACAAAGAGAATACAAGCTACAACGCCACATAGAACGTAACTGCTTCCTAATGTTCTTCACCATGGCTTGCAACATGTTCAGATCTAGTTCTTTGGCCTTTTTCTTGATGCGACGAGCTAGTGAATCGAGATCTTTTGCTTGCCAATTATTGGCATAGACCTTTTGTTCCAAAAGACTCCAAACCGTCTCGATTGGTCTCGCTTGAGGTACGTTCGGTGGATTGTTCTGTTTCGGTACAACAGGAATATTTTTTTCTTTCAATCGATTGAGGACAACACTGGCGTAATGTGCACTGACTTTATCCGGCCAAAAGACGTAATCTTTGTTTTTGTAGTGCGCGTCGATAAATGGCAACAGTCTATTATCAATACATTCGGTTAAATAGATGCCACTTTTGATCGCTTCCTTGCTCCTATGGACGTAAACGTCCGACACGCCCTTTGACGACATTGCCATCCAAACAAGAATTTTGGATGAAAATTTCTGTTTCTTTTTAAATTTCACATCGGAAGGGGTTGTTGATGGATCCGTTGTATAAAACCTCTGATTACATTGAACGTTATCCCCTGATAATCCAAAATATTTTTCATCATCAAGGATGATGTCACATCCGTTCAAGATCATTCTGTAGAGTTTACCACAATTTGTCTTGGCCATCTTCTCTTGCGCTTCGGTGTTCATCTTTGGCGCTTTTTTCCTTTTTCTAATCACGATCGGTGTTCTTTTTCTCAAAGTGCGACTGATGGTTGATTGATGAACGTTGTACCGCTTCGCGATCTGCCGTTGACTGAAGCCAGTTTTGTTGTTAATGGATTTCACCAAACCATTCAACTGCCGTTCGGTTGTTTTCACACTCCGATTTGTCGCATCTTCATAGAAGTTGCAAACACGTTTTGACAGCTCTTCTGTTTCTTGACGCGTCATCGGAAAGGGAAAAAAAGTTATCTACAAAAAGGATACCATTCGAAAGTTTCGAACATGCTCTTTCAAATAAAAAAAAAATTAGCTCTCTAGGACCTATCAAACCGGAGAACCAGGCTCCGACATTTCGGCAATTACTTTTGCATCGTAGGTTATATTTACTAAGCATGCAACGAACTCAAACGTTCGGGTTTGGTCTTTTTCAGCTGATTGATGAAAGGACGTAGAAATAAATCAACAGACGAGATTTCAATATGAGAGCTGACCATGGAACAATCTTTCGTACCTTTACCATAGTTCCGGATCTATTGGAACTATTGTAAGATACAACAAAAAACGAAATTTTTAGTGAACACCCTCACCCTCAAGATTGTTCCATGTCCAGTGCTGAAAATCTGACGATGTTCAAAAATCCCGAACCCGAACCATTGGGTGCATGCATAATATCTACTTCTTTATAGTTATTAGAGGAGCATCTCCAGCACCACCACCTGAACCACTTCCAAATATTCTCTATCAACTTCTTACATCCGCGCCACCATCACCATTTCCTGATGTATTACCCATGTCGGATCGTGATGCACGCGATGGCTATGTTCATTTAGCTCGTGCATTGAATATACTTCCGCTTGCAATGAAAAATTATAATTATACACTTCAATTATGGGCCCTTAAATTGAACTACAAATGGATGAGAGAAAATCAATATGATATTCGTTGGGAATGGGGTAGTAGTAACACAACAATCTATCCACATCTCTATGATAATACAACGAAACAAATGTTACTTGATATGAAAACCTGGACGAGAAAAGACAATGAAAAATGGAACCAAACATCTGTTGTCGATGATGAGTGGCTTACGGATGGAAATACTGGTAGTGCAGCCAGTTTCAAACTTGGAACAATTGAACGAACTGTGTTTCAGCTACTATGTGCTGCTTTGAGTTTTTATTCCATTTCTTTTTAAAACATCTTTACTCTTAAATATTAATAATTCTGAAAGTCTTACTGTTTTAGTTTCGGAGATCAGGATTAGCAATCACTAACTTGAACCAAAACAAAAGATAATATTCACTATTTTCAGAACTCACATAAACAACAAAGCTCCTGAAATATATCTCAAGATTTTAGGAAAACTTCGTAGATGCCACAGATTTGTAAGATATTTGAAAATGCTTTTGATCTCTTTCTAACCATGGAAATTCTAAAATTTACTCTTTGAAAAAACATTCGATTTTTGGGTGTGGGTGTGGGTGTGGATATCTTTTCATCACATACACCCACACCCACACCAACATCCACACCCACCCACACCCACATACACCCACACCCACACCCAGCCACCCACCCACACCCTCAGAATTTCCGTAAATATCTGCTTTGCGGAGAATAATTTTAAAAACCTCAAAACATCGATAATCATGTTAACATTATCTAGTCCATCAAAAAAATCTGGAGAGAATGAAAATATAAAATTTTGAAGAAAGGAGCACACACTCTTCTAGTTTATAATAGAGAAAATAGACACTCAAGTTATCAACAGAGTTCGCATCATAAATTATAAAAACGTAGTTCATCAGGGTTCCACGTTTGTACCACCAGACATCTGTCATTAACTAATGCTGCTGAATTTAAATAATTCACATTGTAATTATATTCTATTGTTTCTTGAAGTTGCCCGTGTGAATCGAATAAGACGAATTTTTTCTTCCTCCAAAGAGTTGCTAAAAACTGTTGGTTTGGTAACGTAAGAAGCCAACACCATTGATCATTACCGAGGCGAGTCTTAGTCGTCAAAATTACGGTCATATTATTTGGATGGCGTAATTCAAACCAATGATAATAGTTATTTTGACTTCCTTGACGTATAATCACTCCAAGACGACTACCATCATTATTGAATCGGATCTTTTCAATCTGTTGATTCTCTTCACAAGATGATGGTGCTGTGAATGTTTGAACTGGATTCCAATGATCTGCAGACAAATCATAAACTTCAACTTTTGAACCTAGATCAGCTTCAGAGACAATAAACATCTTATCCGAACATGTACAAGTCCATATTGTTCGACTGAATTTTTTAATCTGTTTCAGATTGTGCGTAGAGGGATCGAGCGAATAAAGAATGTAATCAGGTTTATATGAGAGAATAAGAAATTGATTTAAAAACGATGAAAAACACATATCGGAGACTTTAAATTCTCGTTGAATATTTAATATCTCATTACCTTCTTCATCAATTAACAAGAAACTACCTTCAGGGCAATAAAGCAAGGCATTATTATTATTAACAGCCATTGCAGCTATGCTTGTCTTGACTCTGATAATTGAGCTTGGTTCATTTTTTAAAGCCAGAAAGTATGGTGATGTTACATTATTTGCTGCCATTTTTTCGACCTGAAAAAATATAAAAGTACATCTTTGGACAAAAGTCTTTCTCCCATTGTTTTTTTATACTATCGTAGTTTGTATGAAATTTATTGTCAAGTGAAGATATGGTATGAGACTTTTACTGCAGTGTGATTTGTACACCATATTGTAATAAAATTCTCATGTTATAGCTTTACTTGGCAGTAAATTTCATGCAACGTAGGATAGTATAAAACACACCAGGAGAAAGACTTTTGTTCGGAGGTGTAAACCAGATGGAGAATCGTAAATGTGTGCTGATATATTCGTTTAAACAGGCATTTGAATTAACAAAAAATATCACTGTCACCCACAATCTTGTCATACTGTTGGTTGGAATTTTCAGAGAGAAAACAGAAAAGAGAGCTCTACACTTCTGATTGAATTTAAATTTAAATTATACAAAATAAATATTATTTCTTATGCCACTTTAATGTTTTTTCCTTTCTTCGTACAATTCTATTATAATAGCTAACGATCGAAAAGGAGTCATTGTA